ACACACACACACACACACATACTGTACATACACATACATTTACATGCATACACACACACACTCAAACACACACACACACACAAACAAATGCACACACTCAAACACACACACACACCGAATGCCTTTTTAGCTGCAACCCAGTACTGGGAAACACCTGTACATACTCATTCACACACACTGATACACTACAGACAATTTAGTTGATCAGTTCCCCTATAGCGCATGAGTTTGGACTAAAACTGGAGCACCCGGAGGAAACCCACACCAAGACTGGGAGAACATGCAAACTCCACACAGAAATGACAACTGACCCAGCCGGGACTTGAACCAGCGACCTTCTTGCTGTGAGGAGATCATGCTACCCACTGCGCCACCGTGACGCCCCTAATTAGAAATGTAGTTGTTTCAATGTTATTTTCAGTTGATTAAATCTAATTAAAATAAACATAAATGCCAAATATGTCAATGAATAAACCCTGATAAAACCTGTCACCAGTTAATTACAAATGAAAAGTGGTTTCAGTTCAAGAAAACAAAACACATTATTAAATAAACAAGCACATTTCAGCCAGATCTTTATTTCAATTCAACAGCAAATAAAACAAATTCATCAAAATAAAGATAAAAAAACACACAGAGTATAGAAATGAAATATTATTTGTATCCTAAAGCTGCTGTTCTTCAGTTCACGTGTTCAAAAACACACCAAAACAGGATAAAAAATGCAAATATTATCCCGTTTAATAATAAAAAAGACAAGAGGACAGTAAGAAAGAGCAGAAACCATCAATAAAAATCCGACTCGACACAGTCTTGCATATAAAATAAGGTCATGAGGTGAAACGCGAGGAAAAGAGGGCCTTTACATTCATGTCATGTGATGATTCTGACATCGTAGATCCACAATCAGAGCATTCCTCAATAATAATACACAGATTCTCACATCTGTACAGAGATCACACTGTGCTTGTGCTGGAATAAACACAGCTATATGGTATTTACAGCATGTTGTACAGAATACTCATAATGTACAGATGAATGGTGTGTGTGTGTGTGTGTGTGTTTAAGACGCTCAGTAAATCACATACCTTTCTAGCTGTTAACATATAAATAAAGAGTGAATGCAAGCTACAACTGCTTTCACCTGGATTTAACAGCGTATCTCAGAGTGTTTATGCAGAAAAATGGCAACGATTGTGTTTAAAAACCCACCAGAACACTTCCAGATCACAGAAAAACAACCGGAAATCAGTATTAGGTGCTGCATTTATAATCCTGAATGTGCAAAATTAATTCTGCATTTCCGTTTAGGAAATGAATGTTTTATATTTCGCCACGCTGCGTGCTTTAAACAAATGTTTTTAGTCAATCACATCCAAAATAAAGCTTGTTTTGACATTTATTATGCATATATGAATATGCATACACTCTGCCTGACTGAAGTCTTGTGGTCTATCCTAGTTTTAAGACCAACAATTAATAATTGTACTTCTAGTTGATGATTTGGTGTCAGAAGTGTCTCTATGAAAGGCGAAGGCCTCTAGATTTTGCTTATTTGAGCGCAATTAAATCAGATCATGTCTTGATTCTTCATGATTTGATTAGGACAGTAAGGTCTGACTCTGCTCAGACTAAAGTCTCATCACTGAACAGAAATAATGTCCAGTATAGAATATAAAGTGCTGCTGCAGTGGAGACAGAATGAATATTGTGTCTGACTCCATCATGAGCTTGGAGGACTGCATCCATACATCTCTAACACGACTCAAATCACTGATTAATAAAGTCATCTGGAATGAAGAAGAAAGAGTTCAGCAGGACTCCCAGAGTTCATCAAGAGTCTTTGTGTTCATCTTCAACACCTCCTCCTTCATCTTACCCCAGACATGCTCAATAATGTTCATGTCTGGTGACTGGGCTGGCCAATCCTGGAGCAGCTTGACCTTCTCTGCTTTCAGAAGCTTTGATGTGGAGGCTGAAGTATGAGGAGCGCTATCCTGCTGGAGAATTGTCCCTCTGCTGTGGTTTGTAATGTAATGGGCAGCACAGATGTCTTGATACCTCAGGCTGTTGATGTTGATCATCCACTCATTCTGAATGAACCCCAAACCATGATTTTTCCTTCACCAAACATGACTGATATATGTGAGAATTTTGGCTCCATGCTGGTTCCAGTAGGTTTTCTGCAGTATTGGTGATGATTGATGCAGATCAACAGATGATTCAGCAGAGGAATCCACCTTCTGACACTTTTACACATCATCAACTAGAAGTCAAGTTATTATCTGCTGCTCTTACAACTGGGGTCCACAGCAAGAATTTTGTTAGGTAGCGTATCTGTGAAAATGTTTTTATATATACTGTATGTATACAATTAATAGCCCCCTTTTTTTTATATTTCCTAAATGATGTTGAACAGATTCAGGAAATTTTCACAGTATTTCCTATAATATTTTTTCTTCTGGAGAAAGTCTTATTTGTTTTATTCTGTCTAGAATAAAAGCAGTTTTAAATTGTTTTAAACTTAAAATTGTTTTATTAGCCCCTTTAAGCTATATTAGTGTAGCTAGATTGTCTCCAGAACAAACCACTGTTATACAATGACTTGCCCAATTAATCAAACTT